AAAAAAAAAAAAAAAATTATTGTATCACATTCAATCGTAATTTCAATATTCTTTTATATATATGTCTGAAAAATATTATAACCTTCAAGTTATCCCAGTAAAAAATATCTTGGTTACAGAAGTGTGAAAACATTAAGTAGATTGTTCGAAAAAAAAAACAAAAGTCGGAATCAGATTTTACATTGCACCGTCACGTTTAGCTTCCTGTCAAATAGTTGAGATACGAAGTCGAAGAAGTACTGGAAGGACACGTCTGTAAAGTCGATTTCGCGCGACAACCCAGATGAACTCATGTAGAACGTGAACATACATGCTATAAAATGAATAAACTCGATAGAGTTGTCGACACAATACAGCCTTGTAAAATGGCCATTTTTGCGGTACGATAAACAATATTCAGTGATCTAGGGATTCAACGTGTTTTTCTCTATTGCTTTTTCCTACTGACGACCTTGAAATTATAGATCACGTGGACACTTGGTTGTTCGTGTTGTTTCGACAATTGTTAAATACTTTGGACAATTTTCAGGATGAATGAGTAAGAAAAAAGACACGTTAGAAACAATCGTTGTATTGAAAACATCTGCAATGCGAATACAAATCTAAAAAAAATGTGTGATAGAATGGAGGCAGTGTGTTTCATAGATTCGGAAGAGCGAGAGTTGTTTATGTCGTAGCTTTTTACGCTCGTCAAGTTTCTGCGAAAATAGAAATGGATTCCCAGGACGTTGTTCATTCGGACACAAGCAGTGAAATAGAAGGGAAGCTTTGTGTGCACCGCGTTCCCGATAAATCGTACGAGCACAAAGGAACCCACGAACGACCATCTTTCAAGAGGATAACCTTTTTAGCGTGGGCCGCCGCCCAGGGACAAGAAGTTCACGATCTTACGGATGAATATTACGGAACAACTGACCTCAAAGAGAGTCCCGTTTTTGCGGTTTAAATGGAATCCTTTTTATCTTACCTGCTGGAAAACCTTTTGGATCGGGACTCTATTTGTAACCACTTCTTTTAATCTTAACTTTTCGCTTGAAAGAAAAGAACGGTTTCGCTTACTCGAAGGGATCGTTCGATTATTTTATTTTTCCGATTCGATCTTAACGCGAGCCACTTGACCGATGATCATGTTTGTTTCTGTCATCCCAAGAAGACATAAAATCCGAGGTTTATTAGTCGAATATAATTTGTCGAAGACATAATCATGGAAATATAAATTAAAATCAAATCATATGACAAGATGGTCACAAGAGGTCACATCGATTAAGGGTATATATTCGCGACGCATGGATTATCGTTTGCCGGATACCGTCGTAACGAGAATGTTCGTGGTGGAAATAAGCGACAATTTCCTGTTAGATTAATATCCCGTCGTGGTGTCTGCCAAAAACGCATATTTATTGCACTCCCGGCACTGAAAATCTTTTTAACAAAGTCTAACGATGCGCAACATTCAAGCATTGTGAAACTACATTTATGGTCGCGAGTTGGAAACCAGGGAAACGAAACTACTGGCTTATCTCGGCAAATGTAGTCTTGAATAAATTAAGAGAGAGAGCTAGAGACGGAAAGATGGGAGGATATTAAGTCTTTGTTAAGATCATAAACATCGGACTCTCAGAATTTATTACAAAGAAGAGCAGCTCGAGCTAATTCAGTCGAGATTTCCGGAAATAGCGTATTAATCGTCATGTTTCTACAATTCCGTTTGATTTAATGGACAACGATTTTCTGTATTTGTATTAATTGTTATCGAGAATTGTCTGGCATTCCATTAAGTTTTGTGGTCTTTTAACTTTTTATTAGCATGTGTAGATTATTGATAAACTAAATGTGGAAAGAAATCAATCGATTTGCTTGATGAAAGCAAAAAAAAAAAAAGGGTAGAAGAACTGCTTAAGATTAGATGACGCGACTCTTGCTCATTTTTGGCTTGCTGCAGAATACTTAATCATTTTTACAACGATCATCTCTAAATCTTTCTAATTATACGATCGTTATCCGTTTGATTTAATACTGTAATTCGTTACATTATAGATACGTAAGGTCGAAGAATTTTCTTTGTTGGAGTGTACGAGCGCTATGAACCCTCTCTAAAGAGTAGCCTGGCTTACAGTGACACAATGGAGGTGCTTCCGAATGGGTCTGCTAGTCGCAACAGTTATAATGACAGACGAAGAGATCTTATTAAAGTTCCACTTCACCGTCCTTTCGCTACGGTTCCTCAAAGTTCCTTGAAATCTTTGTGAAGTTCTCTATTTTACGTTGACATACATAAAACAAAACTGCAGCCAACTTTTCCACGATGCTTGCTTGCTGGCTGATAACGCGAAAAAGCGCTGACTGAGCTTGCATAAACGATGTTGTTTCGCAAAGACAAAGCGGACCAGGAATTAAGGCAGAAATCATAACTAAAAAGAAGGAACGTGAAGCAACAATGATTCAGATCCAAATTTTATGGACTTGACGATAATTACTATTGAATTTGTTGTAAAAAATTTCTCACTTACGTTACATGATTGATCTTCTTCGTCCCAACGGAAACGACAATTGACCCTCCCGTTACATTGCAATTCAGCGGCGATGCACGTTGCGTCCTCGCAGTAAAATTCACTATCGAGGCAAGCTACAACAAATTAATAAGAATATAACATTACTATGCATCGTCGTTGTAATTAAGCTTCTTATGTAGAGTTACATTAAAGATAATTCTTTAACTTCATTACTGTCTCTCTTGCGACACGATACTGTGTATTAAAAAAAAAAAAAAACAAAGAAGAACGAAAATAGTATGAAATTTCTTATAATATCGCGCTTGCCGTCAACTAAGAACTGTACGAGACTGTGTAATACCGTATTATGCAAGAGATAGAGAAATAACTAAATATTGCTCGGTTCCACGAGCAAGTCGCTCGTAAGATATTAGTTCTGTGGGGGTGGCAGGTGTAGAGAAGCTGGGATTCTTCTCGTGCAAAGATAGAATTTCGTACGCGTATGTGTACCGCTACGGCTTACTTCATTTGCCATTCAACTAAGTCTTCCATTAATTTACAACTCGAATCCTTCCACAGCTGACTGTTTTTCGTAATGTGGTTTATATACCAGTTCATTAAACCGATTATTCGTTTCCATCAATGGTTGTCAAGTGTGAAAAACATGTCGGTCAAGTCTGAAAACGACTAAGTATATTGTTCGAAAAACGAATCGGCTCACAAATATTTCCTTTGTTTTTTTTTTTTTAAATATCCTACGAATAACAGAAGTAAATTTGGATCGGTGCATTTTTTTGTGCCGGAAATTTTATCTCGAATGCATCTATCGAATTTTAACGACGTTTCGTATTGCTCGACGATTCAAGTTCCGCGAGAAATTTTATATTTTGGTTTTCTTGGTAAAAAACATTATTCGAAGCATGCCGCAGGGAAACACATGTCAGTGGAAGAATTGGTTCGAAAATAAGAAACTTTCGTTAGAATGAAATCGTATTCTCAATTACTAACATTCGCATTTTTCAATTTACTACGTTCTATATTATCGATATTTCGTTTATTATTAACGAGTTGTTTTGCATAACTAGCATAACGTTACGTGAACCATTGGTAACGAGTTACTTTGGTTAATGGACTGTCTACATCGATAATATCCACCGTTTTATGATCGTTGACAGGGAAATAATAATCTTTCGTTTTGCAGACGATTAGTCGAGCAATCATCTAATTGCTCTTCCGTTTCTTCCTCGTATTTTTCATGGTTCGCATGTTTTGTTAGCGCACGCGAGACAACGTTAATTTATAGATTTCCATTAGACCGTATCTCTCTATTTCCGAGCACGAACGGGTTTTCAATGAATTGTGTTGAACTTAATAAAACTTAACATTGAAATTACTTGCGTGCCGTGAACGAAAACATTCGCAATATTCGTACGACATGTGTTATAATTGAAATTAAATTTCTTTGTCCAAGGCAGTGCGTGAAAGGTCATTAGTACCATGCGTATTCTATTATTATCTGACGAATTGTTGGAAAATATAATTGTTCACTGTAAAATCCAATCGTTGTAAAATATAATGATATTTTTCCTTTTGTCTGCTAGCAGCTAATTCGCGTCGATAAGCTTCCATAATTTGTCTGCATTCATTTCGCGCTAATTAATAATTAATTAATAATTTTATCAAACAAATAAATATCTACATACTTTATCGAGACGAATGATTTCCGTATGCCGTGTTTAAAGCTTTGCTCACCGATTCACACAACTGATATGTTTTTACGCAATGATAAGTCGTGACATGTTGATTAAATGATACCAAATTATCAAAATTTTGAGACTCCTTACTCATTCATTTTTGTATCAAAGATATGAAATCATTAAGCCGAATGATCTTATATTTTTTTTTTATACCAAAGATATAGGATCATTATACAAAAGGAATATGTTTCAATACAATAGAGATTCAAAGCATATGGCAAAAAGTGTATAAAACTGATGCAACCATTTCCAGTTCTAATCAGCCTTAGTAAAGTCCAGATCCATAATCTTTGGGTAATTCTTAAGAAACAAATGTAAGATGCATAAGATGATTTTTTTCCACATAATGTCGACCAATTATGGAAAAGAATTGAAGAGCAACTGTATGCAGTCTCTCGTGAAGTATGTAAAATTTTGGTGGAAAGTATGCAGCCGTTTCAACTGTCGATGAAAGAAACAGTGGAAGAAAATGATAACTTGATATTTTGTCCACAGTCACAAAATTGAATCAAAAACATATTCATAGAAATGTCAAAGTAAATCTAATAAAATTGTTAAACGATTGTTACATTGAAATAAGTGCCGATTAACATATCTAATAAGATTAATTTAAATAATTAATGTAAAACAAGATTAATATATGGTATATGATATAGATTAATATATGTATACTTATCGCGATGTATATAAATAAATTATATTTTTTTGTAAAAGTTACTTGCATTGATTCAATTTTACTCTTTATTGTATATATATTAGAGAATAATAAATTTCAACAAATTAGAAACTCAACAATACAGATATTATAATAGGATTATGCACACAAAAAGGATTATGCGTAGAGATTCTCTATGCTGGTCTGCAACTGAAGTGTGAACTCAAATGACACAAGCGGCTCTAAAGTGATACACATATATGTATATATGTACGACTATATGCTAGTTGATGAGGTTTTAATGAAATGCTTTTCAAAAATACAGATTTGGACGATTCATTACGAATGTCATAAATTTACACATTCGCAGAGTTTGCACTGAGCGTGTAAGAAAATATGAAAAAATATAAACACACGCATAATATATAAAACATATAGTGCACAATTTCCAATGTATAGACACATAATACAGATCTTAATAAAATATAAATTAATCACTTAATGATATGAAGATTATTGATTAGTACAAATTACAAAACTTAATCGTGATTACTGATTTATTTTAATGATAATTAATAGATTATTCTATAATTATATTCTATGATTATATTCAGTAATCGATTACAGGAATGATTAAAAGTAATAAAATTACTGCCCAACTCTGTAGCAAGGAGTATCCATTTTCGAACTTCAAATGGCAACTATATTCGATAAAATATCGTGGACAATATTATGCGGAGATAAACGCTATCGCAGACAACGGTGAACAATTAATCGAGAATGTTTGTGAACTCACGTTTGTCTCCCGGATCTCTGTCTCTGAGCGCTGTCATGACGGCCTCAAAGCTGCTGTTCAACGCTTTGGGCTCTGCGTAAAACCTGACAAAGGCGGTATTGGTCCCCACGAGAACGGTGTCGGCGATGCTGCCGCAGAAATTCTTCTCTCTCGAGGACATGTCAGTGCGTTCTTTGAATATGTCCACGAAGTTGGCGTCGCACTCGTTTGGTCGTTGCAGTTTGAAAGGATCCGAGAACGTCAGCTGAATCTGAAAGTTGTACGTATTCCTGTGATATAAACGTCTCTACGAGGAATCCTTTCTCTCCCCCTCGTTTGTCTCTATCTTGATGACAAACGAAAAAACTCAAAAGATTTTCACCAATTAGGTAGTACGTTTTATGAGGCAAGAGGAACGTCACAATTACCTACAATTTTGTGCCAGACGCGATTTCGTTTGACCAGAAAGAACCGGACGTTCAGATAATGGCGGGACATGAATCAAAGGCAGTCTAACAAAGGCACATGTCATGTAGCATTTCAGATACCATTCAAGTTACATGACGTATTGCATGTTTGAAGTTACGTTCGTTTATTAGTGAAGTCAGGCTTAAAGGATTATCAAATCGCTATCAACGAGGGGAAGTGTTCCGTGAAACACGACGGCGTTGATAATGAAATTCATGTCGCGACAAAAATGTAAATTAAATCTTACTTTCCATCCTTCCTTAACGGTGATGTTCCACATGCAGTCCAAAGGAATACCTTCCTTCTCGGCAAGGGTCTTCCTGTCTTGCACGTCGTCGCTGCTAATAATTGCCTGCACGCCATTCACGTATCTTACGCATGGCTCTGGTTCTGGTGGTACTCCCGCTGTGAATCACACCTATTACAGTATTACACTTTCCCTAGGCCATCGTCAGGTGTTTATTTGCATCGACTAATTCGCCCGTACGTTTCATTTTTCGCGCATGATACAGCTCACTTTTTTACAAGTAGTTTCAATGTCACTGTCCGAGAACATGTTCGCCATAGCAGCGTTCGTTAGGCAAAATGAAAAAAAGAAAAAAGAAAAGAAAGAAAAGAAGAAAAACAAAAAAAAAAGAGAGAAAACAGAAAAGAGAGAAAAACACTGACCATGGAAAACGACGAAAAATTTCCAACTATTGTTCTAGAAATAATTAATTTCCCGCACTGAATTGGCATTATAAAACTCGGGCTCAACGGCGCACAATGAAAAACGAGGGGGAAATTAATCAAACGGCTGAAAAGATTCATCCCTTCGGCATCTGATTAATTTCGTCACTCGTTGGTGCTTGAATTTGACGTTACCATCGCGGCGTTTTAATATTTGTTCCTCGTTAAGTCTGATATTTTGGGAATCTCCAAAGCCATGCGTTTCGGAGCGTACTAACAATAAGAGCAACCGAATATTCAAACAGCATTCATCGCTTCAAATCTGGGAAAATGCAGGAAAATAATGAGCTGTATGAGACGTAACAAACGAATATCGATGCTATATATTTGGCAATTTGGCATGCTTTAGTAGAGTGAAATGCAATTTCGCAAGGATATTTTACGTAATATCCATACGTAGTTATACAAAGTTATATCTTATTAACATTAATATTAATTTATAAAATTATGTGAAAAAGCAAAATTGCAGCAGATATATTCCATTATATGAACAATTATTCTTGAATTTTTAATTCGAAACTTGTTTCCAATTGTAACATTTAATTGTTGAAGCAGTGAAGCGAAATAACGACAGTGTTCAGTACAGTTACAGAAATTACGTTAGAATTATTTTCAGCTAGCTCGGAGCGCTAGTTTTTTGGTACAAATTCTCCGATGTACGATTTATTACTGGTCAAGATAAAAAAATTTTTGCACACAGATCCCAGTTGGATTGGAAAGTTCGTTGAATTGGATACTTCCCAACATTCGCCGGGGCTAATGTCCGACCAACTATTCTAATTTGAGAATTACCGTGCCGCCGTTCGTCACTCACATTTGTTTTTAATGAATGACCAACAGCTGACATAAATTCTACTCAGTTTCTCCCTCCCTGCGTGTGCGCATGTTTTTTGGAAAACATAAAAATTCATCAATGCGAAACGACTGATCGATATTTTCCTGGTGCAAATTATTGATCCAATCCATAACCTATTGACACGTGGCATATACATATCATTCTCTCTTATAAAATCATTTGCAATCATGGATCTCGTATTTCGTAAATAATCTCAAACGGTAAATTCTCGATTGGATCGCGATTCTAGTAAAAATAATTTCTTACAACATTGTACACCACCGTGGCAACGTGACGAACGAGTAGAAGAATCGTAATACCATGGACTTACGATAGGTTGGTCTTGGTATCATATTCCAGACGGCCTTGAAGCCCTTGCCCTCGATGCTATCGTCACTGTGGAATCGCAACCAGAGATATCTCGTCTTCGACGTGATCTCGGGGGGGAAATTTGTGCCACAGAAGTTACCAAGGAGATTGGAGTAGCCGTGCTGACCGTCACGTACCTCAAGGAAATCGTAACGGCAGTCGGGGCTCTCCTCGAGCTTGAACTCGTCTCGAAAGTCAAGCTTCAACAGCATGCCCTCCTTAGCTGAAACGAGAAAAAGTATAACGTTGCCGTTAAAGAATGTTTTCCAGAAATTTAGTGGTTTTTGTATTCGTTGAAGAAGATGTTACTCGAGAAATACAAAAGCACACTATCGTATTTTTCTATAGATATCTTATTAGAGAGAATCACGTTAATAATGTTTCAGAAAAATATTTTTTATATATTTTCGCGGTGATTGTATTGTTCTAGCAACAAAACTCGGCTGATTGATCGGCTCATATGATGAATATTTTAATTTTGGTAACGTTGAAAAATCGTCCTAGTCAAATTATTCTTCGTAATCGTTATTATGTAATTTTTCCGATTTATCTTACGCCAGAAAATATTGTAAATAGTTCAATTTACAAGTGTTTTCCCACGTGCTTTTCTAAAAAACAATTTATTTATCACGACGTAAATTCTTGAAAGGACGCGGAAGAATCTATAATATTCCGTTAACGAAGCGTTTCGTTTTCAACACACAAGTTAGTGCAGTGAATGGAAGTTTATCCGTTCTTCGTCGCGTTAGATGTGCAAACATACCATTCTTACGTTTTCCACGCAATAAATCGAAATCGATGGTCTTTTCTATGCTTTAGAAATCTTAAGCGTATAGTAACCTGGATGTGCAACTTGTAAAACCAGGTTGCTTGATCGCTTTCTTATCACTGAACTGGTGTCGTGCATAAAATCCGGTCGATAGATGATACGATCTGTAATGAAGCCATTGAGATGCAAACGCGACTTCACTTCCCTCGCACGTACTAAGATTATCCAGGAATTATTTACCGCGAATTGATCGTTTGAATTCACTTTATCTTTCCGAACAACGAGAAGATTTCCTGATGACATTTGGATGTGGCTCGTGGTGTGAGAACAATTTTCATGTTTCGCTTCATTTGCTGAGAGATCGCTGCCGCTCTGTCGAACAATTAATGTGCTTCCAGTTCTCTGGTTCCTCTTAGGTAATAATTATTCCAACGTAATAAAGATTCTTCCGTCAGAATGGGATACACACACACGGAGCGGATGTATGCGCGTACACGAAATTGTTGCTAAATTCCAAACGGTTCAATGAACGTTACGCTTTATACTGTATAATACCGCCGAGATCGACCAAACGGCCAAACAAAATGTATCGTGAATAGAGAAGGTTCGTTCATAAATACTTGGTATATTTGCGAGTGAAATATCTCACTCGTATTGTTTATTTTGTAAGTGGTGCCGCATAAAAATTTATATCTGATCGATCGCGATAATAAGAAAATTATTGACTGAGAATTATAGAAGCCACATATTTGTTCTTAAATATTCCCTAACTATTTGTTCTCGAATGTTCACTATTCGAGGAAACAGATCATCTATTTTCATGGCAATTAAAAGTGTGCGAACTATTTCCATGAATAATACGTTCCGTGAATAATGTACTCACAAAAATGTTGTAAATTGTACGTCATAAATTGTTTAGATAATCCTGATGAGAATCTCTAGCATTATTAATGACTTTCTTACTATACAAAGTGTTCGCAGTATTATGCACCACCGTTTTTCTCGTAAATTGCAAATTTTTGAAAAAAATAAAAGTAGAAAAAAGTTGTTATGTTTTTTGCCAACATAATGGCATATTCCAATTTTTTATATTTTGCAATGTTGTTTAAGAAACGAAAGTAACCATTAGTCGGTGCAGCTCGACTTTCTTTATAGAAAGATATTTAATTAATTCTATAAAATGTATTATACGAAAGACGAGGTGAGATAGACAGTATTCTTGTGTTCATATTGTCCTTATCTTTCACGCATAAATTTTATAAAATTATATTTAAAATATCTCCTACACTGATAGTTTTTCGACATAGGTTAATACTTTTTTTTATAGAAAATGTCGATTGAATCATCAATTAATACGATCATTGCAGTATAAGGAATTGTTTCAAGATATTTTTTTCTCCCGTGCGTTTTGTTTTTTTATTATTTTTAAAATTAAGAACAAATTTCCTTTTTGCCGCTAAATACAAAAATGCAGTATAGTGTATATGTCGAATTGTACATTCAACCTATTTATTTCCAATCCGTCGTAATCTGTACGGGACATTTAGCTCGTGTGGCCAAATAAGAAAATCAAGTTCACGGTGAAACCTATTTGCCTTGTATTCAGTGGCAACTCGTGGAACTGTAGCACTCCCAATTTTTCTTGATATATATTTATTAACTTATTTATATTTGCTTGTAATATTTAATTTTATCGTCAAGAATCCTACAGAATTCTTTTTCTTTGCATAAAAATTAATAGAAACCCACTATATTTACAATGTGTATATTTTAAAAGTTGCAGCATGATTTCAAGCCATTTATTGCCAATATTACTAAATAGAAAGGCTCCAAAAAAAGTGTTAATGCATCAAAAAATATATCCTTCTATTTAAAAAACTGAACCATCTTCATCTTCATTTTTTCAACAACATTGAAAATATAAAAAAATTAGAGTATGTCATCGTGTTAGCTATAAAAAACATTGCAACATTTTCCTCTTTCACTTTTTTTTTTTCAAAAACTTATCATTTATGAGAAAAATGCTGGTTTACAATACTATGAATATAGATAGAGATACGTATAGTTGCGTAGGAATGTCATGCTCAGGACCGAGCTATTATTTTCACTCGTATATTTATGCCGCGCTATGAATGAAATTCTGGCTATCATCTGCGAGTGATCACTATGCCACGCAAGACGCGAATTCATTTCTGTCCGAAGAACGGATGAATATATTTTCTAGACAGTATGTTAGCAAGAGCGGGAAATTCGTCATGACACGGTGCTTCTACTGTGAAAATCGTCATTGACAATTACTTCCGATTTCTCTCTTTGAATCGAGAATAGCGTCACATGTGACGCAAAAATGTCGTGACTTGCCCATTCGAACAACGAACGTTCTTGGCTCTTATTTGAATGGCGAAGCTCAAGACGCTTCGAACCTTCCACGTTGGCGAGACCGCGTTTCTTCGAGATGAAGAGAAGAGGAAACGATAAAAAGCGGCGCGAAGGAGGATAGAAATAAGAAAGGAAAGAATAAAGGTGCGCGTCGTGACTATTTTTCACGGAGAGGGAGGAAACTCTAAAGCGGCGGCAATCTCGCCTCCAACCACTGTCCGCTTTCGTATGAAAATACCAGTATTCCAGTCGAGGAACGGTCGATCGCGTTTTTCAACGCGATCCAAAGAATCTCCTCGCTTCGTTATCTTCTGATTGTGTCACCTTCCGCTTACTGCTTGTAATCATTGTGGAAATTAAGGGCCATTCTCAAAGAGTTTCACAATTCTTCGCTATTATACAACGTTCACTATTTATTTCACTATCAACTCGTCTCTCGCGTTTCCCTTTGAAAAATTTTTCAAAAACCAAAAAATTTTCAATTAAAAAGTAAATTCCGTGGCATTGCATCTGTCACATCCATACAACGGGGTCTCGGTGCAGCCCGATGCTGTACATCGTACTTGTAGAATGCCACGAATTTCTATCGACCCGCGAGATTACCTAATCGCCGAGCGACAAACGTACCGCGAAACAACTGATCTAGAAATTTCGAGCAAGAGGACGTGATATCCGTTCCAAGTTGAAGTTTCGACCGTTCTGGATATCTAACACCAAATTTCACCGTGTCTGAGTTACTGTGAACACCACGTTTACTTACGAAACGAACGGCTTCCGTCATTGGAGAACTTGTCTGTGCTATGAAACATGCAAATATACCAGTATTCGCGATATTAATGTATATAACGGTTCCACTCTGAGAAATCCAATGAGACTTGTCTATCTCGGAATCCATTGTTACATTCTTCTCTCAATAAGCCCATCGAATTTTCTCGCCGAATTTTCTCCATATTTTTCGTAATTTACGTCCAAGAAAATCTTCCAAAGTTACGAAGCCTGTACAAATTTTCGCACATTTTCCATTATTATTCCTGGGAAGTTAGGGGAAAAGCTCGAGGGTGATTTCTAGGCGAACGTGATTAGGATTTCTTTCCGTGGCAGGAAATTTATCGGTAACTATTGGGCGTAGATTTTATCCATAATATCGGATATCGAGAAGTATCGATAGAGATAAAAGGAACGCCTTTCTCAGGTGTTTCTCGTGAAAAAAATATTATAGACGTACGTGCTTAGCTTTTGGGTAGCTAAAATTTATCAGTATCTCCTCTCCTTCGACTAATGACCAGACTATTATCTTAGGAGAGAAGAGTCGTGGTGAATTATAATGAATATATATTCCTTCCACAAGGTGTTTCAACTAAATGGGATCACTTAAATATCTGTCTTATCTTTTAATTATATAAAAAAACTTCTCAGGATAAAATTTCATTAGGCTCCATCAAACGGTGGAGGAAAATTTTTTTCAAAATCATTTTTTAAGAGATTTGGAGGTTATCGATAATGATACAGTGTATGCATGCTAAGTTTGGCCCAACAGTTGAGATAGCTCGACTTTATTATATATTATTAAATGTCAATTTTCTGCAATTTTTAGTGATATATTGTATCTTGTTTATAAGCCATATGAATCGTCCTTATTGTTCATTTTCATTTGAAAGTAAAATAAGGTATGTATAATGTGTATAATTGAATCTTAAAAATTTTCTGTCTTAAATCATATACTTTAAACTATACTTTACTAACATTTTCTAACAAATGATTTTTTTGGAATTCATGTTAATACAGTGTTTAGAAGTTATAGTTACATTTCTATAATGAAATATTGTCGTATCATTGTAAAAAAAGTAAGTTATCCCAGAGTATCGGGATAGATCGTCCGTTTTTTTTTAAAGGGAAAAGTTGACCCATCATGAAATTGTGTATAATAGTTAGTAAATGTTTTTCTAAAAAATCATGCCAATTGAATATAAAACAAAATTTAATAATAGAGGATTATGAACAAACGAAGAGGTAATTTAAAATGGCAAAATGGGCGTGAATGTGGAGTGTTTTTGGCATTCCGGCTCCTAAAGGGACGACTGAAAAATAATGATTATTCAAAATTTAGGACCACTTTACTGCTAGATATGGAAAATGAGGAAAAACAAAATTCAAAAAATTTCAAAACAATGGTTTTGTATTAATATAATAAACGTAAGATTTATGACATTTAATTTGGCTGAAAATTTGGGGATAAATCATAAATTTAATAAAGAAATAGGATCATCTGAATATGATTGGCTAAATATGTTTTTCAAACACCATCCAGATTTCCGAAAATCAGAAGGTGTTTTTTTGTCTCGGCGACAGA